CCCCTCCCCTCCCCTCCCCTCCCCTCCTCTCCTCTCCTCTCCTCTCCTCTCTTCTCTTTTTTTCTTTTCTCTTTTCTCTTTTTTCTTTTCTTCTCCTCAACTTAATTTTCCCTCTCGTTCTAGTCTTCACCTCTTTCTTGTCTCCTCTCCCTTCTCTTTCCCCCCATTACTCAGACTTGCTCTCCGTTTTTGGTATCCTTGGCCAGAGAGAAGTGAGTCAGATTTTTTTAGTGAAAATGATCTGATATTTTGTAAGGTGGAGTAACGTTTTCAAAAGTGAGGCTCATATTTAGTTTATCCATAGATTTCAAAAGTTTATATTTTTGTTGTTACTACCCACCAAGTGAAGTTGAGTTTTGGTTATATGCTACCGTTAGAATATAACTGGAAAAGAAATTGGCGAATTTCCTTAATATGATAGCTAGGTTCAGAGTAATATATAATTAAACAGTACAGGAAATTGTTTCTCTATTTTTATATATACGTTAAATTTTAAAAAGGTAAATTATACCATCTCTCTTTGTCTTAAAGGAAGAAAGATTCTATTAAATAGATACTACATACTGAGTAGAGACATCAGTTTTTAGATAATTCAGCTTCACTAAGATATGATGTATCTTTTTTTTTTTTTTAAGTTGTCCTACAGGGCGGGCAAAAGTAGGTTTATAGTTGTAATATAAAACAATACAGTAATAACAATACAAAAATAAACTCTGTCTTTTGCATTCTCGCAACTGTAAACCTGCTTTTGCCCACCCCTGTATATAGATATGAAAAGAATTTTGCTTGTGAGACCACACATGCAAATATATTAGTTGACATCCACATATAAGTAAAAATTTCAATTTACTTAATTTAGACTTTTTTGAGTAAACTAAACATTAAAAAGCTGATCTTATTTGATTATGAATGTAACTTTTTTTTTTTACAAAAGAATTATAACATTTTAAATAAATAGATGGCTCTGCAAACATCAGAAGTGCAAACTTCTATTAAGAAGCTTTAAAAACGTGCGCAGACTGTAACCTCCCGTGGCGATGTGCGTTGTCCCTGTGCCCTTTTTATCGGAAATGTTTTCATTTGTTCTTGTTCCTGCCGCTTAGTGGCGAATCAGTGAAACTCTGAAGGAGATGGAAGAGAAAAAGAACGAAGTCAGCAGGCTCCAGGAGCAAGAAAAGGCGCTCTACGCCGGCTTTCAGGCGGCCCTGGGCGAAAACAACAAGTTCGCCAACTTCCTCACCAAGGTGCTGAAGAAGAGGGTGAAGCGGGTGAAGAGAAAGGAGGCCGAGGGCGATGCCGGTTCGTATTTCTTCCTTACACGTGGTTTTTGCCTCCTGAACATAGATGGAGAGAAAGAGATGGTCTGTGTCACCCCAACAGTGTAGAGGCCCTGTGGGGCTTAAGGAGGGGGGATGTAAACGTTTTGGGTCCGTACAGGGGAAGTATCACTTTTTCTTCACCAGACTGTGTTTTTTGTGTATATATATATGTATAATCAACTTGGGAAGAAAAGGAAGGAAAAGGTACGTCGTGCAAATATTAAAACAGGAGTGGCTAAGGTAAAATTGGATAAAGTCAATTTCAGGGCAAAGAAAATTACTGGACACAGAAAAACCCTGAACAATGATAAAAATGTCAGTCTACCCAGAAGACAGAGCAATCTTAAATGTGTGCGTAAAACAACAGAGTCGCAAAATATGTGAGGGAAAAACTGGTAGAAATGAAAGGGAAAATAGACAAACCCATGATTATATTTGGAGACCTCAAACCCCCCTCTCAACATTTGATAGAACAACTATACTGAAAATCAATAAAAGGATATAAAAGACCTAAACAGCACCATCAACCAAAAGGATCTAATTGACAGTAATAGAACACTTCACCCAAAACAGCAGAAGATACACACTTTGCAAGTGCCCACAGAACATATACTAAGATAAACCCTATGTTAGACTATGAACAAATCTCAACAACTATAAAAGAATTGAAATCATACAGGATGTATTCTCTGACCACAGTGAAATCAAACTAGAAGTCAATAACAGAAAGATAACAGAAAAATCTCGAAACACTCAGACCTAAACAACATGCTTCTATATAATCCATGGGACCCAGAGACATCTCATTGTAAAATTTAAAACTACATTGACCTAAATGAAAATGAAAATGCAACTTATTAAAATTTGTGGAATACAGCTAAAGCAGTCTTGAGAGAGAAATTTATAGTACTAAATTAGAATAGAGGACAAGTCTCAATCCAATAATTTAAGCTCCCACCTCAAGACTGAAGTGCAAAATAAACCCAAAGTGAGCAAGCAGAAGGAAGGTAATAGTAAAGATAAAAGCAGAAATCAATAAAATTGAAGGCAGAAAACCAATAAAGAAAAATCACTTATTAAGAGCTGTTTTGTTCTCGAGAAGATCAATTGATTGGCAAACCTCTAGCAAGAGTTAAAAAAAAAAAAATCAAAAGAGAGCAAAGTACCAATATCAAGAATGTAAGAGGTGATATCATTACAGACCCACATTGCAAATATTAAAAGATAACAAGGAAATACATTGAACACTTCTACGCACATAACTTTTTGGGAAATAGGCCAATTCCACAAAAAAGTACTACCCCGACTCATTCAACATGAACAAAATAGATAATTTGATAACTATTAAGCACATTGAGTGGGGGTCAGTGGATGAAAAATTCCTAAACTGACCTAACACGACCTTGGCTGAAGGCAGGCCCGAGTGGTAAGGTACAGGGGGCAGGGAATAAGGCATTTGGTCAGGTATCAAGGGTGGGGGGCTTTTACTAAACTGACTTGGCAGGATTCTTCCTAAAGCTGGACTAAATGGGCCAATGACAGAGCCCCAGGTCAAGGACTAGTCAGAAAGAAGACTCAGAGGGGCTGGCTCCAGTTTGGTTAAAGGAGAGGGCCTTTGCCAGCTAACCCCCGGCAGGGTTTGCTGCAGGTTCTCCAAGTTAAACCTCTCCGTGTTTGTGCAGCAACACAGGACCATTCGCCCTGAGTGGGTTAAACAGAGATGATAAAGAGCATTACTTGAGTTCAGATAAGTTGTGAAAATCTTCTCTGCTTCCAGGGAGGGCACTGTGGTGTAGGAATTGTGGACCTAGATAACCAGTGTGTGCTGGGTGGGTCACAGCATAAGCGATTTGGCAACGTGGCCTCAACCCTCTGCGACTCGATGGGTTGAAATTAATTGCACAACCTTGCGCAGGCATTTGAGTTTGTGGTCGCTATGTCTTTAACCATCTTAAGCTCGTCTAAAAACACAGTCATTTCCTGCTTTTGCTCTGTTATTTTCCTGGTGACTAACCCATTGAAAAATACCTTATTTTAAAAATCTGGGATTTGGCTTAACACAGGAACTTCCGCTTATTAACACTGTTTTACTCCCTCCTTAGAAGATGATGAGGACAGTGATGAATCAAGTGAGGAAGAATCCAGCTTGGAGAGTGATGAAGACGAGTCTGGATCTGAAGATGAGGTTTTTGATGATTCTATCTGCCCATCACGTAAGCTGGATAGAACCATGTGTTCTCTGTGAAATGTGACTGTGGATTGACCATACCAGGAAGGTCTTCTTTCTTTCTTTTCTGTCCTTTCCTTCCCTTCCCTTCCCTTCCCTTTCCTTCCTTCCTTCCTTCCTTCCTTCCTTCCTTCCTTCCTTCCTTCCTTCCTTCCTTCCTCCCCTCCTTCTCAAGTGTGTCATAATAACATTTAAGGAAAGGGTGGTTTAAGATATATAAAGTATATTCTAATGTATACTTTTGGGGGTTCTCTGGATGGTTGATTTTCTCTTTCTTTCAGCGGCCATGTATGAGTGACAAATAAAATGATCTGCAGATGATTTGTAGTTGATTGAGGGTCATTAGTTATGCAGCAAGTTTAATTTTATAGAGAAATAAGATTGTTATATATTTTTAAAATATTTTTCCTTTACAAACGTCTCCCTTTTTGACAAACCCATTAACATTTTCATATTTCAAATCTGTTTTGTAAGTGCAATTTATACCAGTTTCCTGGAGATGCTTGGCAATTTGTATTCACTGTTTTCACTGATGAAATCAGTCTGAGGCATCCAGACCCAATTTTCTTACAGTTTCAATAGGTAAATGATTCAGTAGAAAAAAACATTTCTATTTGGTCTGAAATTTACTTTTCTAGTCGTTTCATATAAATTATTCATCAAACTTTAAAGTTTAATTCCAAATAAATTTTAAATCCTGTTTTGATTTTCAAAGTAAGAGTTTTCTCAAAGTCATTTATGAGTAGATGAGAGCTGAAAAATTTTCTAGTGCAGCTTCTTATTTTATCCCAGGACTCAATGGCTTGCACAGTCCCAGAGCTAGGTTAGTGGTAGAACTTGGGCAAGAGCTGAGGTTCCTGAATTCCACTGTGGTACTCTATTATATGTTCACGTTATCTGTTACTTTGTGGATAAAAGTCGCTGTTAGTGTGATATAGTGGAAACTAATATAGAGATACTTACTGTACTTGGGTCCCATTCTGTCACATATCAGCCATGTGACCCCTCAGAGACTTAGGGTCCTCACCTATACAAATGGAAACGGTAGTTTCTACCTTGCAGGGCCTCTGCGCCTTGAATGAGATCATGGACGTAAAGGGCCCAGGACAAAGCCTGGCTCAGGGTACTGCTCAGGACATCAACACTAGTACCGTAATTACTGTCATGATTATTAATAGTTTCCCCTGGAACCATGGAGCCCTAAGTGTAACGACACCTTGCTAGAACAGATCCACAAACCGGCACTAATGATTCTGAGGCTCCCGAGTCCACGCTTGCAGTCATACCACACCCCATAACAGATGGGGCTTCTCTTTTATTCCCACCCTTTTCAGATTGCGACATGAGTCTTTTTGAACTGGCACTTCAACTTCGGGAGAAAAGGCTGGACATTGAGGAGGCCTTAGTCGAAGAGAAGAAAATTATCGATAACCTCAAAAAGGAATATGATACATTGTCCAAAAAAGTACGGTGCTTTGCCTTTTTCAGGTCTACTTATCCCCTCCCAATATGCTGCACGTTCTCCCAGCTATAATATTGCCATTTCATAACAATGACATAATGTAGGACTTCTCCAAAGAAAAGAAACATTTCAAATGTGACATCCTGGTTTTTTTCTTCCAGCACAGTCGTGGCGTGGTGGGGGCCATTGGACTTTCTTGACCTAACTCATTGATTCCCAAACTTTTATGATTAGATACTTCTATATGTAAAAAAATAATAAATTACGAAGTGTGTATCCACACAATAAATGTTTTTAAATGTTTTTAAAAGTTATTTATTTATAACTCGTATTTATGAACGATTGTATTAACATACAGTTGAGTCTTAAACAACACAGGTTTAAACTGCACAGGTCCACTTACAATGCAGATTTTTTCCAGTGAATTTCGTAGCCCCAGGTTTTGCATCCGTAGATTCAACCAACCACTGATTGAAAACAGTATTTTCTATTTTTGGTTGGGAACCCATGGAAGTAGAGGGCCGACTTAAGCTATATGTGGATTTTTGGCTGTGCAGGGTCGGCACCCCTAACCCCCCGCATTGTTCAAGGGTCAGCTATATTCTGTATATTATGAAACACTGACAAAAAAGAGAAATTAATTATATTGATTAATTTCTGCCTTATCTACTCATTTTCTCTCTTAGGCATCTTTTCTAGATCAACATCACTTAACTTGATTCATGTTCAGAAGTATTTTCGATATATTGAGTCTCCTCTTTCAAGTAGGAAATGATTTGAATAACCTTCAAGTTTTTTAGGAGGTGAAGAATGAGCTTCAGAAACACTGTAGTTAGTAGTTTCATCACTTGAAAGGCTTTTTCCTTTAATTTATTGAGTCCATTATGACCAAACAAGATTCAAAACATTCTGACAAAAACGTTCTGTACCGAGAGCAGCTTTCCGTGCAGAAAATAGAAGGGAGATGAGGACATGTCTTCTTTTTCTTTTTCTTTTTTTAAAAATATCTTTATGATTTCAGAGAGAGGAAGGGAGAGAGAGAGAGAGAAACATCAATGATGAGAGTCATTGATCGGCTGCCTCCTGCACGCCCCCGACTGTTGATCGAGCCCGCAACCCGGGCATGTGCCCTGACCGGGAATCGAACGGTGACCTCCTGGATCCTAGGTCGATGCTCAGCTGCTGAGCCACGCCCAGTCAGGCGAGGACATGTCTTCTGAGCTCACATTCGCCAAACCTTTACAGCTCTGGGGACATAGGAGTGACTGAAAAAGTGGTGTAATCATGACTTAGCAGGATGAAACAACGTGCATTTCTGGGCTGCAAACTGGGATCATCCATTTAATCACAGCCCAGCAGAGCGGATCCTGCTCATGCTTTTACTCCCTATCAAGATGCCCTCATTGACCACCTTGGGGTGTGCTTGCTGCGTCTTGTCAACATTTCACCCCCGGGCTCCCCACAGGTCAAAGTTGTGGCGGCTAACCTGAACGCAGCAGAGGAGGACCTGGAGGCCTATCAGCGAGAGAAGCAGCAGCAGCTGAATGAACTTCTGGTTGTGGTTCCTCTCAAGCTTCACCAGGTGATGGGGCCAGCGAGGTTGCCGCACCCTGTCTGAGCAGAGTCACCTCACCTAGGCCTTTCCAAGGAATGATTTATGGGTCACTGGTGGGGAGAAGAGCCGTCCTTTGCTGAGAATTCTCCCTGTAGGATGACACCCCATAACATCATGTGTATTTCCCTGTGGCCTGTTACTCAGCTTTGGAAGCTGAATTTCAGGCCTGGAGAATGAGGAACCTGTGACGTAGGAGTGGGATGGCTTGGAGGTTGAAATCTTGGATCTTGCACATATATCACTTTTCACATCATCTTTAAATAGACATGAACTAATGCTGCAAGACTTGTCTTCACTTAATCTCTACTTTGTTCAAGACAGAAGTCAAGACAAAAGGAAAATATTCTTTTCTCCCCTTTTTTGCTCACCTCCACACTCCACTTGAATTACAACATATTAAAATATATAGAGAGAAAAGGCCCATTACATTCTGTTTTGTCAGGTAAAGAGAAAACACTGTATTTTAGAAGAAAAACCCAAGACCAGCCTTACATACCCTGCGTGTGTGATGTGCTGTTGAGTTGGCTCTGACGCCGGGTGACCCCAGGAAGGAGCGATGTCCTCAACAGCCCTGCTTAGCACCTGCAGGCTCATCCCTATGGCTTCTCTTACGGGGTCAATCCGTCTCATATTTGGTCTCTTCTTTTCCTGCCACCTTCTATTTTCCCAGCATTATTGTTTTTTCCAAAGAACCTTGCCTTCTCATGATGTGCCCTAAGTACCAGTTTCAGTTTTGTCATTTTTGCCTCCAGCAATGTTTCAGGTGTAATTTGCTCTGTGTAACCTGACCCAGACTGGATTAGCTGTCTGGAGCAATCTCCCTAATATGCCAACCCTGAAACATTAGTTCCATCATTGTGCCGTAGATAGTAGCCACGATCTTTGTTTTGATTTAGGTTTGGTTTTGTTTTTGTTAGATAGAGCATGTGGTGTTTGGAGAAATACCTAGTGATCTCTCTGGAACTTTGGTCTTTTCTAACGGCTCCCTGGGAAGACTGCAAGAACGAATCGTGCAGCTCCAGGAAGAGAATTCCAAGCAGTATAAACTTAACAAAGAGTGGCGGGAGAGACGGAAACAGCTCATTCGAGAGAAGAGAGAGATGGCAAAAACTATAAACAGTGAGTCGCTAACCCCACGGATTATCTAGTACTATTTATTGACATTTACTGATAAGTAACATTTATTGATAAGAGGGAACTGTCAAGTGACTGTTTCCAACTTTGAAAATAGTAAGTAATCAAAAGGAAACAAGAACACCTCAAGCTGCCCAATTTAAAAGGGACAAATCTTTTATCATAGAAATTATTTCTCTGAGTTGTAAAAAGTTTCATGTACAATGAAATATAGAATAATATAATAATAATCCATCTACCACTCAAGCTTAAGAAACTATTCTGCTATCTCTTTCCCCAGGATCAAGTACCAGGTGAGTACACATATATGTGTATGTGTCCACGCACAATATGTGAAGCTACTTGCATACTTTTAACTGTAATACTGTATTATTCATATAATTTTGCAGTTCACTTTATTATTATTATTTTTAAATATATATTGATTTCAGAGAGAGGAAAGGAGAGGGAGAGAGGGATAGAAACATCAACGATGAGAGAGTCAGTGATCAGCTGCAGCCCGCAACCCGGGCATGTGCCCTGACCGGGAATCGAACCCTGATCGCCTGGATCCTAGGTCAACGCTCAACCGCTGAGCCACGCCCAGCCGGGCTCACTTTATTATTTTTTAAAAATATTTATTGATTTTGGAGAGAGAGAGAGATAGAAACATCAGTGATGAAAGAGCGTCATTGAATGGCTGCCTCCTGCACGCCCCCTACTGGGGATTGAGCCCGGAAACCCCAGGGCATGTGCCCCGACCAGGAATGGAACCGTGACCTCCTGGTTCATGGGTTGACGGTCAACCCACGAACCCACTGAGCCACACTGGCCGGGGTTTAATAAAGTAGCTCAGTTCACTTTATTAAACGCATTTTAGTTATTCATATTGCTACAGTAATTATTTATTTTAACTGCTATTACAGCGATTTTCAACCGGCTGCCCCAAGAATGTTTAAAACGTGCAGTACCTGACTCTTTACTCAGGGGCACTGACCTCTTTTCCCTTAGGTTGTCAAATAAAAAATGACAAGAGCCAACACAATAGTCATCCAGTGGGACTAAATCAAAATTATACCTATTTTTTTGTCAGATGGGCAAAAAATGTAATATTTTTTAGTGTGCTGCAGAATTTGAGTAATTAGTCCTTGANTAAATCAAAATTATACCTATTTTTTTGTCAGATGGGCAAAAAATGTAATACATTTTTTAGTGTGCTGCAGAATTTAAGTAATTAGTCCTTGTGTGCCACGAGATGAAAAAGGTTGACAATTGCTGTGCTATTACAATATTCCACTGAGGACTGTAAAATAACTTATTCCTTCAGTCACCTGTTGATATTTCGGGTACTCCTAATTTTTCATGGTTACAGACAGTGTTACAGTAAACCTTCGTGTACAGGCCTCCCTGTGCGCGTGTGAGGAGGTGACTCCCAGGACAGGGCCTCTAGGCAACAGGGCCTGTGCACACTGCCAGCTCTCTGCGATAAGGCCACCTTGCCCCCTGGCGGGCGTGACGATTGCCCAGGCTTCGTATTTTCATCAGCGCTTGATGCTGTCAGGCTTCAATTTTGCCGATCTGGCAGATGTTAAATAGTATTTCACTGCGGTTTCTATTCCTATTTCTTTGATTCTGGCGAGGTTGAACGTCTTCACATACCTCTGTTTGTGTTTCCTTTTCTGTAACTGCCATATTCTTTACCCATTTTTTACTTCTGTTTTTTTGTTTTTCTTATTAATTTCAGGGAGTTCTTTATATATTCTTTCTTTGTCCATTAAACACACTTTAAGTCTCTCCTTGTTTGTGGCTTCCCTTTTACTTTTTTTAGTGTATCTTTTGGGGATCTAGACATTTTAAATCTTAATGTAGTTAACTTTATCAGTGTATTTATTTGTGGTTTGTGCATGGTGTGTGTGTGTGTGTGTGTGTGTGTGTGTGTGTGTTGTTTAAGAAATCCTTTTCTACTTTGAGGTCATAAATATTTTTTTATAGTTTTATCTTTTCATAGTGTTCTTCACACTTGCATTTTTAACCCATCTGGAATCAAGGTAGATGGTGTAAGGTGCAGTGTAAAGATTATCATCTTTTAAAATTCTTTTTATAATATTTGCTATATGGAATATATGTGTAAGAGATGAAGTATTCCAGCTTTAATAAAAATAATATTACCAATACCGNGTATAAGGTGCAGTGTAAAGATTTTCATCTTTTAAAATTCTTTTTATAATATTTGCTATATGGAATATATGTGTAAGAGATGAAGTATTCCAGCTTTAATAAAAATATTACCAATACCAGAGCATATACCTTAATGCCACAGAACTGTACACTTTAAAATGTATCATTTTAATTTTTTTTTTGCTATGTGTATTTTGCTACAATTAAGTAATTTTTTTAAAAGAAAATTTGAAAAAGGGAAGAACACAGTGTGGTCAGTTAATCCAAGTTGCTCAGGTTTGCAGAGGCCAGTTTCCATAGAGTGGTGATGGCTCTGCCCGCCAGGTGGCTGGATTATAAAATCTTACAAAATGCATGTTAGTGCTCCAGGTTTGCGTAACACTTATTTGAGACACAGTTTTCTCAGGTGTAAGCCTTGAGGTCAGTGTTCCTCACGTACTTCACATTCCTTTGGCTTCTGTAGCCTGTGAATGTTGGTTATATCTGGAATCCTATTCATGAAACCAGGGAATTGACTAGTTTGAAGATGAGGAACCTTGTTTCAATCTAGGTAAACTCAGGCTGGGAAAATGGGTGAAGAAAATGAAATGAAGTATCACGTTTTTGGAGTGTTTGTTAAAATAAAAAATAGTTCCATGTACTGGGAGTTTTATTCAGTGACTTTCAGCTCTTCTCTCACCTCCAGCCCATGTTCTGAAAGCAAGTTGTGCATCTGGTCAAAGACCGATTTCCTAATTCTGAGTGTGAAACTGGGAGTGAGTTCCTTGCCTGTAACCCAGAGAAAAAAGCTGACCGGTGATGAGAAACGCCAGTTATCTTCTGGTTGCCTTCCTCCATCCCTACATCCAGTGGGGGAGAAGAGGAGAGTAGAGCGTGGGAGTGAGAAGGGTCAAGTTTGCTCCATTCCGAGGAGGGCACAGCTCACAGCCATGGGGAAGGTGGGTGGTGAGTGTTCCAGAAACCTTGACATTCCCAGTGAAAATCGGCTGGGCTGTGGAGTCGGGAAGGCACAGGCTGGCTCCACGGGGGGAATGGCAAGGTGGCAAGGACTGGAGTTGACGTTATAGTCCAGTGCCGTGGGCAAGGCCTCCTTAGGGGGGCTGGCCAGGGGGGAGTCCCGATTCTTACTAAGAAAGACAAAGGGGCAGCCGTAGCCCAGCTGCACTGTGCCAGTAATTCAACCGTTTCATTTGCATCACTGGTTGCCGTGGCCACCACATTACACAAGTAGGTGGTGTCACTGCTCACTCGGAATAGAAATAAACAGCTCCTCCCTGGTTTGTGCACAATGCAGCCCGGCCATTTACACTATGACAATTCAACCATGACAATGATTCCTTACTACAGTTCCTGCGCTGTAGCAGAATTGGATCGTGTCACACCATAGGGCCTTCAGACTTTGCGTGAAGATAATCTGTGACTGAGAAAGTCTTGTTAATAAGATTACATTTTCTTGAGGCGCTCAGCCCCCACAAGTGGAATTTTGCCCACGTGTTCCAGCGTGCTCACACTGGGGAAAGACAGTAAGCAGAAGTGACATGGATCACATGTCAGTTGGAGATAATTGTTAAAAAGAAACATTAAAAAGACTGGGGAAGTCAGGGCTGAGAGCCACAGGGGGATGGGAAGAGCTCTCTGTCGAGGTGACCGGCCTGGTAAGATGCGGCCCCTCCCAGTTAGAGGACGAGGACCTGATGTTAGTTACGCCTCGGGAAACAGCCTTCCAGACGGTGGGAACGGAGATGGGAGTGAGCCTGGAGTATCTGGGAGGCAGAAAGGAGTCCGGCGGGAATGGTGTCAATGAAGAGCGAGGGAGGGGAGCGGGGGCGGAGGGGTACCGCGGGCAGGGCAGGGCAGGGCAGACCACGTAGGGCTGCGTGAAACACCACAAGGACTTAAATTTCTACCTGGAGTAAGATGGAAACTTTTGTTAAATGCCTGCTCTATTCTTAACACTGATGCTACAGAGATCAATAATAAAAGAATTACAAATGGAAGAGTTCCTAATCTGGTTGGAGTCCATTAACAGTCCGAGGAGGGGCGGGTCAGGTTGTGTAAGCCAGTTGGGGAAGACAAGGTTCTTAAGCAGCTGGAAAGATAATACAGGAATGGGCATTTTAAGTGAAGAAAACAGCTGAAAAGTTAGAGGAAAAATCATCTGGAAGCATAAAATCTTTTTCCATCTTCTGACGAAAGCCCTTCCTTAGAGTGTCCTTGTTATGGGTGGTGGTCATGTCATAACAGTGGGAGCCGTGGAGCAGCCTGATGGTGACTGTCCTCTTTCAGGAATGGAGGAAACAGTCCGCGACTTGATGATCAGCAAGTTCGGCCGCGTGATAGACCTGGCAGCTCTTCAGACACTTTCCGTGAATGTAACGCTTGAGGAGCTCAAGATTAAGAAACTCCGAAAGGAGCTGCTGAATGCAAGGGAAATAAAGAAGTGGGAGGTGAGGGTGAGAGGGCACCTGACCTACTTTGGTTCAATCTAGGTGGAGGCAAGAAATGCTGGTGAGCTGTGTGTGGTTCCTGCAAGGCATCTGTTGTACAGCTGGAGACGGGTCTGGGAGCCCCACTTCCCCGCCTCTGCCCCCCCCAACCGTGAGCTGCTGACCGTAAGCCTGTCTCGGCTTCCTTACCACTCACTTCGTTGGAGGGACTAGTCTACCTTGGGATGAGAGCACCAGCACTGGGGTTTAGGGGCCTGGTGCATGTAAATATGACAATAAAACGGCATGGAAGATTAGAGGTTTTATTTTGAGGTGTACGTTAACATGTAAATGCTCTAACAGTGCTAGAAATGGGACTGCTGTCCTCTGAGGGTCCTAATTGTATAAGTCTGTATAGCTTTTATGTGCTGTTACAATCTGGAAATTAGAAAACATCTCTGAGTAATACACTTTATAACAAGGCGTGGACCGTGTAGCTGGCAGGGTCTCAGGAGATGTTCGTGCCTGCGTTGATCCTGAGCGTGAAGTGAGGCCGTGCAGGTACGGCCTGAGTAACGACAGGCGCTGTTACAGAGATTCTGCAAGCCTCCAAGCCATCACCGCTTCTCTAGGTTACTGTCATGTCTCAGCAGTAGATAGGCAAGGTGGAGAGGTTCCTAGTTCTTTATTTTTAATTGATTTTAGAGAGGGAGGAAGGGAGAGGGAGAGAAACATCGATGTGAGAGAGAAACAGCCATCGGCTGCCTGCTGCTCGCCCCCTACTGGGGACTGAGCCTGTATCCCTGGCACACTCCCTGCCTGGGAATCCAACCAGTGACCCTTCGGGATGACACTCAGCCAACCAAGCCACACCAGCCAGGGCACTTAGTGCTATCTTGTCTCATCTTTTTTTATCCAAGACTTGCCACTGTGCTGTGAGAAGTAAATTACTTACGTGTTCATGTCATTGGGACTGGTCCTTATCAGGGGAATGCTGCACATAATATGTGCAATCTAAAATAATTTGTGGGAGCAATAAGAGTACAAAGGAAAGCCACTAGCAGATGTATGGCCATTCAAGGACTTGGGGGATCCTGGGCCAAGACTGGGAAAAGAGCAGTATGTGAAAGTTTCTTGCTTAAATTACCATTCTCCCTTTCAATTAGTGAACACCAACGCTCAGTCTGCATACTAATTCCAGTCCTCAACAATGGAGTGATGTCAATACCGGTCTTATTTTTACCTACTTTTATCTTTGATCACATTACANTCCCTTTCAATTAGTGAACACCAACGCTCAGTCTGCATACTAATTCCAGTCCTCAACAATGGAGTGATGTCAATACCGGTCTTATTTTTACCTACTTTTATCTTTGATAAGATTCNAATTACCATTCTCCCTTTCAATTAGTGAACACCAACGCTCAGTCTGCATACTAATTCCAGTCCTCAACAATGGAGTGATGTCAATACCGGTCTTATTTTTACCTACTTTTATCTTTGATCACATTACATTCTTATCTTTTCTCTAGTCAAATCAGACCCGATGCAGCTGCTTCTGGTTGCATTTTCATACTGACTTCTGATTCTGTTTTTCTACATGCATATCACTCTGTTTGCCTGATGGTTCTGATCAAATCTGGACATTCGTTTTTCTCCATTTCCTCTCATTCACATCATGCGTTCTGCGTCTTCCTGCCCTGGTAGGAGAAGATTGCTCAGGTGCGGTGGGAGCTGATGATGAAGACAAAAGAACACACCAAAAAGCTCCACCAGATGAATGACTTATGTATTGAAAAGAAGAAACTGGACTCTCAGTTGAATACACTACAGAACCAGCAGGTATGCTTCTTCGCTTCAGATCCTTTGTTGAATCGGGGAAGTTCTGTAACGGTGGCTGTTCACAGGAATGTCAAGTGCTGGCATTTCAACAAATCTGGATCTCAGACTGCTGCTTACCCCACCAGGGTCACTGAGAACACCAAGTTGATATTGGCCCCACTGCAGTAAGCTTGGGTGACTAGCTTCACTGTACACCTCTTGGGTGCCACAAACTTACATAAGTGCTTGTCTATGGGGTTTGCCTTGGCCCTGGAGATGTAAGGTTATTTAGGTATAAATAATACTAATATCCTACCTGAATTTGGTGTCAAACATCCATTTCCAGTATCTCCTCATTTCATTTGACCTAAAGTGGGCATCTTGACTTGTGGAATCCTGCATGTTAACAGCCTTACTAAAATACTTGCTGCTACTTAGGGCTTTCAACTTGCTCTATATCATATTTTTTGAGCCTAACATAGGCTACTTAACATGTGGTGAATGCTACTTATTTAATAGATTCACCCTACTCAAGCGTTGCCCTCTAAGAGNTGACCTAAAGTGGGCATCTTGACTTGTGGAATCCTGCATGTTAACAGCCTTACTAAAACACTTGCTGCTACTTAGGGCTTTCAACTTGCTCTATATCATATTTTTTGAGCCTAACATAGTGCTACTTAACATGTGGTGGATGCTACTTATTTAATAGATTCACCCTACTCAAGCGTTGCCCTCTAAGAGCCTAACACGTGTTCTGAACTATATTTCATAGTATTACAATAGCTTCTGCAAAAGTGCCCGTTGTCTCTCTCGGTTTTTTTCATGAAGCACCCTGGAAGTGGTTTAAGTTAGTTCTCAGAGTGTGGCCCCCCAAAGAAAGCGTCAGTATCACCCGGGGAAAATTGTTAGAAATAACCCAGATCTACTGAGTCAGAAGCGGGGGGCTGGGAGGAGACGCGGCATGAAGCCACATCAACAAGCCTTCAGGGTGAGTCCGCCGCATGCCCGAGTTTAAAGTCACTGGTCTAAGCAAGAGCANAAATAACCCAGATCTACTGAGTCAGAAGCGGGGGGCTGGGAGGAGACGCGGCATGAAGCCACATCAACAAGCCTTCAGGGTGAGTCCGCCGCATGCCCGAGTTTAGTCACTGGTCTAAGCAAGAGCGCAGAAGGGGGAAAAGTTTGATTTATTCCATGGAGAACGAATAAGAGGATTTGGGAAACTTGTAAGTGGACATGAGATATGAGAGGAAGCTTAGAACAAGAACATCGAGGACCCTTTCTCTACTAAACGATTTTTGAGAACCAAGGCAGGCTCAAGGTCGATGCCTGAGCGAGCTCTCCAGTGGGAGCCGCCAGTCAGCACTGACTCCAGGCGCTCGGCCCGTCCGGATACACTGGGCGGAGCCGGCGGTAGGACAAGGGTCGAATGGGAAAACTAACAGCAATGTACGGGAGGTGCGTTTCTAAAATGAGGCCTGTCTGCCTCCAAAGCTGACTCCATTGCTCTGATTCTTACAACTGTCCAGGCATGAATTGGGATGTAGATGGCAAGAAGCTAGTGTCCAAAGAAATGTCAAAATGAGAATACCCAAAATTCGTTTGGATATGGTAAGAATGAGGGAAAATTAAGGAGCCTTTAAAAAGACTGATCGGAATGGCTGGGGGCGAGTTGGCACATGTATTTAGCCGCAAGGAACCGAAAGGCCCATTGGAAGCAGCTTAAACAAATAGGCTCATTTTTCTCACTGAACAAGACGTCTAGAGGGGACGACTTAAGGGGGTTTGATTTAGTGGGTCCATGATGTCAGGGGCCAGCATCTCTGTGATTCTGATTCTTTGATGTTTTCCTCAGAGTCACTAGACGGCTGCCTCGGCTCCATGTTTCACATCCACATGCCGGCCTCTTCTGTGCCTTTATTAAGAAAGCATGTTTTCTGCTTAGATTCACTCAGCCACCCCTAGCTGGAAGAGAAACTGGGCGATGTTAGTGTTTAGCTTTCACAGCCTCGAAAGTGAAGGCGGGCAAGGGAGAAGCTATGGGGTAACGACAGCCCCTGCTTTCTCTGAAGGTCTGCCATCGTGAGGGTAATGGACAAATCATAGACTTTTGGCTTCAGGTAACCTGGTTGTAACCCTGCTTCCAGCCCTTAATAATATAGTCACTTGGGCCAGTTTATGAATCTGTCTCGGTCCCTGTAAAATTGGAAAAACCCCACCTAGTTCACAGAGTAGTTGTGAGGAATAAATGAGGCAGTGTATGTAAGCACCTGGCGGAGAGTGTACCAGCTGAGTGCTATGTCCCTTCCTTTAGCATGCGTTCAAATTTTATTGAGCATCTACTTAGGCAACAAGCCCCAGAGTGAGTGCTGGGTACAGTGGTGAGATCCAGGATCTCGAAAGAAAGCTATCAAACATTTAGGTTGAATCATAACAAATCACCACTTTGTTTAGGTTAAAAAATGGTCAAATGTCATAAATTTCAAGTGGTTCACTCTGATGATTCCAGTGGCACACAGTGGCTGTTTTGATAGAACAGAGCAGGAAATCCTAGCCTAGTCCATGGGGCAAAGGTCTCTCTAAAGTGATGTCTGAAGCAGGAGCAGGCATTGGCTGGACAGGGGATGAAATCAGATAAGGAAGTAGATTATTTCCCTTTTGGAAAACAAAATATGAGTTATATAGTAAAAGGAGGTACCTTGTCTTTTGTGATTCCAGTGATAAGCCCTCTAAAGTGTGAGCGGCAGCTAGCTTAATGAGTTACCCATTTAAAGGATATTTGCATTTTAAGAGTTGTTAGCCCAAAGGGCCACATTCCTAATGGTGGGATTTCAGTGCAAGAATGAAGGGCCCTTAAAATTAGGAGCAATGGCTATTTAAATTGACTGTAAGGCAGGCACTCCTAACCCATATGTAAGGACAGAGAAGTTTTCACATCTGAAATGATGCTTAAAGTAGGGAGGTGTTTTCTTTCCACAGGGCAATGCCTTCCAGGGCCCTCGGAAAGCAGATACAGTGGCAAGAGAGAAGGTCACCGAGTTGATCCAATTCCAGGCTGAAAGAATTTTGAACTTAAAGAGGGAGATTGCTCATTTGCGTAAGAAAGGAGGCATTATCCTCCCACCCATTCAGCCCAGACCATAGAACAGATGAAGCCCCTGGGCCTTTTCAGTTTGCTTTTTCTCTCAAATCCATCCAAGATTTCTGACATAAAATCCACCAGAAGTTGCCTCCTTGTCTCCTGCAACAATCCTGTTATTTTAAAATGAACCTTATCTAAAAGTCTAAACTCAGATCCAGCTGTGGAACACCCAACATCTGTTACTGAGCTGAGACATTTTAGATTTGTTTAGAACCAACTGGATTGAATATGAAGTCTCAGAAGGCTGTAAGAAAGCATCTTTAATATGTCCTGTTTTAGGAAAACTTATTTGTATTTTTAACCATTGGCAAAAAAAGCTAGCATTAACAGCATTAGCTGGTCCCTTTTTGTTGTTTAAAGCCAGTGAACTAGAAGGTGAGTTACAGCCTGGACCTGAGGGCCTCTTGGAAGTGATCCAGGCCGTCAGCCAGTTTGTATCTGAAGTCACATCGTATTTCTCTTATCTGCTCTACTTCTCCTTTCCTATCATTTGCATGTTACTTACAGCCCTTCATTTATTTCTTAACATATATTTAAAATACCGCTTTCCTGAAAATCACTGCATCTTGATGAATTCTTCCAATTTAACTTTGGATAGAAAAAAGATCTAACAATCTACCAGCTAGCACTCTATTTCTTCTGGCCAGCAGAGGGCACACTTGTCCTAGATGACCAGTCAGTCCTGGGGCTTTCCTAGGATCTTGCTTATCAAATTCGTGACAAGAATGAGAAGCCAGGGTCTGGCACAAGGTCTCTTAAGTGTCTGAAGTGGCATTTCACCTGTAATTCAACTCTACTGAAACTGGGAATATACATCGAAAGCTTCAGTCTCCATCCAGTCCCAGGTATAAAGGATGAACCTGTGGTAGGACAGCAAGCAGTAAGTACATGTCGATTTTAACTAACCAGTGAGTCAGCTCCTCTGGCAAGGTTGGTGTAGCTTTGGAAAGAAGGGNAGTCCCAGGTATAAAGGATGAACCTGTGGTAGGACAGCAAGCAGTAAGTATATGTCGATTTTAACTAACCAGTGAGTCAGCTTCTCTGGCAAGGTTGGTGTAGCTTTGGAAAGAAGGGGAATGAATTTTACCAGGCACCACATGTTCATGTGTAGTATAACGATTAACTAAATGGAGAAAATACTTGGTCTTTAACACACACACCTATATAGAAGTGATTAGTTTCATTCCTTGGATATGACCAAAGTTTTACCTTAAGCCCAGTCTCATCAGTAAGAGAACTGAATCTGCTCCTCCCTGCCTCCTGCACAGTCTCCCTCTTGGGCGAAACAGTTACTGATGCATTCCACAGAATAAAAGCACAACCGACGTTCCAAGTATTTGCAAAGATGAAAAATCAGAAACATCTGCTACCTTTTCCAGATCTCATCTCTCGATCTGAAAACATCACAAGTGGGTTTCTCCAGATACTCAAAGACTGAATCCTAACATGTAAGGAAAATGCTGACTCATATATGACTAAGCTGAAGGTTACAGGGAAGACTAAACATTTATTTAGAAGTTACAGTGTTTGTTTTTACAGAGCTATGTTGCCACAGATTATTGATTCTGGAAGGTTTGTTAATGCTTATGTACTGTACACGTCTGAGTCTGTTCTCACGGGCATCTTCTGGACACGCTGCCTGCATCACCAGGTCCGGCATCACAGGTGTCTGCAGCCTGTGCGACTGTGGCCTCGGCATCGCCTGCGTGGGCATCGCGAACAGTGAGTCTTCCCTTCAGCAGCTGCTCCGGGGGCTCCTGCAGCCTCCCTGTCATGGGCACAGGTTCCGAGTTCCTCCTGTTATGTTGTGGCTTCTGTTTTACCTCTCATACCTCCATGGGTAAGAGTCCCATGTCTTTCCAGAATTATAAAAACACATGTACATTTATTTACAAGTGCATAAATATATAAATATGGCTATTATAGAAAAATAAATACCAATTTCCTCTGTCTCTTTAAAAATGATAATATAGAGTCTTTCTGGAATACTGGCTTCTGCCTAAATTATGGGGGGTGGTGTTTCAAAAGATACATGCACTGGTGGGCTGGGGGAGAGCTGCCTCCCAAGCTCCTGTCCTCCATAGGTCCCCGTGGGGTGCTGGGGACACCACTCTCCACCCATTTGGCAAGAGTCAGTGCTGTCCACTTCTTCAACTGGTGCAAGGCCCAAGCAGCACGGGGGCCCTGTGGGGAGAGAAAATGGGAAACATTAAAATCCAGACTGGCCAGGAAGCAGTGCTCAGAGGTGCTGGTCACACTGATCCTAAAGGAGAGAGAGAACCTACAGCCATGACAAGGTCATTAATGCTCTCAGACACGGGCTGGTCCATCTGCACATGGAGACTCTCAAGCACTTGGCCTGTGCCCTAGGGCAGATGAAGTCAGCTCAGCCCATAAAATGTGGAAGACAGCCCTGGTCCATCCTACTGGTATAATTTCTGGCCATGATCACCCCACACACAGTTGATTCTCCCAGGTGCTGGATTTGGCTCTAGGAGGCGAGTTTCACTTCCCAGAGGCAAGGGTGAGGTTCTGCACATGGACCTACATCCATACCATGGAGGCTAAGAAATGCTATCCAAGCCTCTGCAGCATCCTGTATCCAACTAAATATCCACTGAAGACACTGGAACAGGAAGACAGTGGGATGGAGCTGGTGTGCACTGAGCCCCTTGGAGAAGAAAGTTCTGTTGAAGCACAGAGTTACGATGTTTGTGAGAAGTTGGCTCCTTAACGACTGATGTAACCTTAGTCCTTAATTAAGAGACAAGACCCAACAAAGAAAGGTATTTTGGAGTGATTAGAGAACACCTCTTATGATGAGAGACAGTAGGAATTTGTGAATGGCCTTGAAATGCAGAAGCCAAAAAACTCTAAAATGGCCAAGAATCCTTTTCCTTAGCCTTTGAGGGCAAAGCTTGACGTACTGGAGAAGGAACCCACTGGTATATCTGCTAGGCCTTCAGGCAGGAAGGAGGGTGGCCAGCCACCTTTCCCCCTCTCTCCCGATTAAAGCTGTGGACAGCTCCACCTTCAGTGACTTCTCTCCCTCTCCAAGTCACTCCTGGACTGTGGGTGACTACCTCATGTCATCTGCAGCCTCTTTAATTTCCTGCCCTGCCTCTGGCACGGACCTGCATGAAAAAGAGGGTCCCACGTCGCTTCCAGCCCAGGACTCTGGGGTCCATTCCTCATTCCCAACTGGCTGACTGTAGCAGGCTGCTCCTGGAGGTGGTGGCAGTCCTGGTGGGTCTGGAGCAGCTGGTGAGTTGAGTCATCAGGCAGTGTGTATAAGAAAGAAACCTTGTCTGGGTTGGCCTTGGTTCCCCTGCATGCACAAGACCAAATGAGGAGGTCAGGTATGGACAGAGTGGGCTCCTATCCCCACCGCCCGGCTGCTCCCATCAGAGCACCAGAGGGGGAAAGAGCTCAGACGGGCAGGGATTGCTCCCCTCTGAACATCAAGAAGTGCCACACCATTTCCATGGGTAATTCTAGTCTGTCGCCATTGTATTCCATGCAAGTCCTAGAATGTATTAGAAAATGTGGAATCAGGTGTCCAGGGGCCTCTGGGCAAAGCCAGCTGGGCTACTCTGACTGGCCAAGTAGGGGGAGGATTCTGAGGCCAACCCAGGCTCCCGCCCTGCGGAGAGGCCTCCTTGCCTCCCCAGGCTCCTTCCCCTTGCTTATCGGTTGAGAGTCCAGTGGAGAGGCTGTCAGACGTGGGGATCCCTAACTGAAGCACTGGGGCTCGCCTCTCAGTGACTGTAGAGGGGAAGGTGGGATAGGGAGGGGCCTGGTTACCTGGGAATGTGGTGGCTGTGGACATCATATCCATTGCCAAGAACAGTCTGCCTCAGGAGGCCATTGGTGTCATCCTGCTGCTCAAAAAGAATAATGACAAGGTCATGTCAGAGTCCAGGACACTTTCCTGCTCATTCTTTAACAGGATGAACTGAAGAAAGCCTGGCCAGCAGCCCAGACCTAGGGGCTGGAAGGGAGGCGGCCTCAGGAGGCAGCCCAACCACTCCCTCTGTGGGTGCCTGTACCTGCTCGCCCATACCCAAGACCGCGTTACCTGCTGGAGCTCCCCTGGGCAGTGCTGCGGAGGTTTCACGCCTGGGTAGCCCATGGCTGTCGCAGGGCAGCCCCTGTTCACGTGTACCCCACTGGCACAGGCCCGTCCATCGGTGCTGCTGAGGTAGGGCTGCCCATTGGCCCGGTGGCCTGGAAGTCCTCCCAGTGGTACCATAGTGTACTGGCAGGAGGACAGAAGGGCACCTCGAGGAAAACCCAGGTCTGTTGTATGTTCTGGAATGACAGAGGAGAGAGATCTGCTTAGGCCAAGGAGGCCTGGGCAGCTTGAAAAAGTCCCCTGTGAATCTCAGAAAACTCCTGACCACAGGGTCACGTGAGGTAGGCAGGGAGTTGGGGCTGTCCCGGAGATGGGAATAGCCTCCCTCACAGTATCTATGTTACCCTGTCTGCCCAACATCTGGACTTTTTTTTTTTCCAGTGGCGATATGGGTGAGGAGATATAGGGGCAGGTGTTCAGGAGAAGGAGATGGTGAGCGAACAGGAGGAGCAATACTTGGTGAGGTAAGATGGACTAGGTGTGTCGTCATGAGGCAGACATTAGTGGGTAAGAGATTAGCTCAGGATAAGGGGGAAAGCTCACAGCAGCCCCAGACCCCAAGAAGAGGGAGGAAGTGTTTGGAGAAGAGGTAGGTAAGTGTGAACATGCGGTCAGAGCAGCAGCTTTGGACACTAAAAGGAATTGGAGCCAGCTAAGTCCGAGCTCCCAAGATGCAGAAACAACAAACTCTGACTTCTTCCTACTCTCCTCCACCTGCCATGGTCCGTGAGCTGGGAGGAAAGGGCTCAGTTTTAGGTATTCTCTGGCTCTCTGGGGGTCCCAGGAGCTTGAGCTCTGGTGACTGGGAAGCAGGGCACCTCTGCTCCCGCCCTGCGGAGAGGCCTCCTTGCCTCCCCAGGCTCCTTCCCCTTGGCGCAGAAGAGGGCCCCTCACTCACTCTGCTTAGACCAGGCCCTCCACAAGCAGAAGGGGATGAAGGCGACGATGAGGAGGACGACAGAGCCCAGGACGACCCCGACGATCAGGTAGGGCAGGTCGCTGGAGCGTGCCACCATGGCCCCCGTGCCCACTGGCCGCTCTATGGTTTCAGGGGGTGGTGGCTGAGGTGAAGCCAGAGTCGGGGGTGGGAGTCCACCAGGCTGACCAGACTTGCGAGCTGTAATTGTGAACAAAACTCACATCAGCATCTAATTTTTTGATATTTCTTTCACAACAATAACAAATATCCTGATTCCGTGGTTGTGGGAAATGGGGTCAAACTCACAAGACAGGGCCTCAAAACCCTTTAATAGATGAGTGTGGTATCCAGGCTCAGCATGACCTTGGCATCTAACGTGAAACTTGGTATTACTGAGAGAACTGAACCTTATATTGCAAAACACAATCAGATATCTGTGAGCCAAACACTGGAGTCAGACTGGGTCCTCTGAGTGGAAGTGGTGTGGGGATTTCCTGAAAGGAGAGCTGGTGAACTTTAGGAAGAAAATATTTTTAAATGCATGAAATCAGCAAAAGGACCGGGAATGGAAAAATTTACCCATGAATTTGTGCCTCCTGGCAGATTGAGAGACGTGGAGTACTAGGCATGAGCCCGAGCTGCAGAGCAGGGGGATAGGTGTATTGGGTGGGACTCCCTGGGACAGACAGTGACTGTGAAGTGCTAATTCCAAGGTGTCCAGGTAAGATGGTGAACTACTCACTGGGCTTTTGCTATTATCAAGGTGCATCTGACATTGTTAACTCCTCTTGACAGCCGTCTTCCCCCTGACTTTCTGATACTGCAGGTTTCTGATGTACCCCCCGGCCTCTCTGATGCTGCTCTTGGCATTTCTCTTTTCCTGCTCTCTCTGGCTTCTCAGACACTGGAGGTCTTCCTGATCCCTCTCAGTGGACACTGTCTCTATGGATTCTTATCTGTTCCCGACTGCCACATCCCCACACCCATGGCCCTCCCCCAGGCAGGAGGCCTGCTTCTCAGGGAACACTCATATTTCAACATCTCAGAAGAATCAGACTCAGTGGGTCTCCAAGGGGTTTCACCTTGTTCCTCTCACTGGATCTGGTTCTCACCCAGCCTTCCCCACTTCAATAAATGGCAACATCACCTGTGTGGTCCCTCAAGCTAGAAACTTCAAGGCTTACTCTGAGCTCCTTTCACTTTCTCCCAGCCCCAACATGCTGTCAGTCCCTGGCCCAACGCACGCTTCCTCAGAAAAGAGACCCTTCTCTTTACCTTTACTCCACACCCCCGTGCTCTCCCCGCAGCCCATTCCTGCATAGTCACCAGTGACCCTGCTCAACAAACAAACCCACCAATGACCCTCCTCCACCCCAGCCCATAGGGTCCTCTCTTGTTCTCCTTCAGGTCCCATGTACTTCAACCATCTGGAGATACTTGCAGGTCTATCCGGTCCCCCAGGACACTCCCTCCTCAGTCCACCTGAAGATTCAGTCCTTCCAGGAGACCAGTGTGAAGCCCTTGTAAACTCTGTTCTTTGCCCTGAGCACTCTGTGTGTCTCCTGATACAGGACTTGATTGTGGATGTATGTGCCCCTCACTTCGCTGTTTGTTACAGAAGAGCGCAGAAGTGCACATGGCAGGCGCTCTGTATTTGCTGAGTGAGAAAGCAGTGCAAAGCCAGAGAGTGTTGCCAACGAGAAGAAAATGGATTTTCTTGTCTCTATCTCTATGGTTTGGTGATCTCCTGATTTTGTTCTTTGCAATACAAATGGAGATCATATCCATCCACTTGACCAATGTGAAAATATAAACAAGTTATCATGTGAATACGTTTAACATGTTTTAATGCAGAGTGTCTAGGCTTGCAATTAGACGAACTTCATCCGAAGTGTGCTCTACCACTAGCGGTCTGCATGACCTTGGTCAAGGTATATCATTTCCTTTCCCGTCTCATGGGGTTGCAGTCAAATTAAGAAAACCAACTAATGTAAGCATCCAATGTTATCATAGGAATAGAGTGTTTATAGAACGTTTCCAACCTAAGAATGGGTTCCACTCCATGAGTTCATGTATGAGTTAGTTCCCAAGTTCCTTGTAGCTGCCATGTAGCAAGTTGTTCATACTTAACCCTTTGCGGTATTAAATTTGGACATGGGTGTCATACTGGTCGGAATTAAGAGCTTTCAGAGAAATTATGAACTGATACATGAATGAATAGAGTTAAGATTCATACGGTTCCTTGCTGTGGTGGCTGAGAGCAGACATACGACAGGAATGGTAAAAGAGCTTTGGTGGCTGAGAGTAGACAAACGACCACAAAGGTTTAATAAGGCACAAGCAAGTGAATGGTTAAAAATGACAGAAGTAAGGAGTACTTGGAAAATAAGGGGTCTTCCTGGGAAAGAGATACCCAGCAAAGCACATGAAACAGTGAATTTGCCCTTATTTGCTGAAAAGAGCAAGAGGAGAACAGAGAACCTGAAGAGCCTCACCTTTGGTTTCACAGATCATCACGTTGCTGAACTCGCTCTCCCCTCCTTCATTAAAGCACTGCATCTTAATGTCATAGGAGGTCTCTGGCTGCAGGTGGTTGATCGAGTGCCAATATCTATCCCCTGGGAAAGAGAGTAAGAGTCACATATGGGGAGGTGCATCTGGTTTGCTTGGCCTCCAATGGCAGTCAGACTCAGGGCTGTGTGCTGGGTCTGGTGCCACTGAATGGCACACAGCCAGGTTGGGGAGGAAATGTTCTTGATTCCCACTCAAGTTCCTGTTGTCCCATCACCATGGGAAGGAACCATGTGGGGTGAGGAACTTGGTGACCTCAAGTGTGTCATGAAAGAGCCAATGATATGGGGCACAGATGCTGTGTGTCACACCAGCCCAGGTTTTATATTTTCACCAACACCAAGACCCCCTTGCCAAGAGAGGAAACTAAATCACACAAAAGTATTTCTCACCTTCCACCATATCCTTCTTGTAGTCACTGTCATTGTCACTGTCTGTGGGTCGATAATAGATATAGAAGCCATGGATTGGGGTGTTGTTGTTACTTGCTGGAATATACTGTAGGGAATGGAGGAGAAACACATTGAGAGTGGAACAGAGAAATCAGGTGGGCACAACCACTGGGGGATGGAAATTTTACCCCAGCCTAGAATTAAAAAAATACATATATATATCAATTTTTAGAGAGGAAGGAGGAGAGAGAGGGAAACATCCATGTGAGAGCAAAACATTGATTGGTGCCTCCTCCTACCAAGAATGGTGCCTGCAACCTGGGCATATGCCTTGACCAGGAATCAAATCCTCAACCTTTTGGTGCATGTGACAATGCCCTACCAACTGAGCCACATTGGCCGGGGCTACCCCAGCCTAGAATTTGAAATCCACTGGGGATATTTCTGATAATATCAGATATTTCTGATAATATCCCCAAGGCTCTGCGGAGAATACAGTGGAGATCACTCATTGTATTCTGCCTAGAGGTCCCCCAACCTTTGGAGACAAGAAACAAACTGCCATTTCTTTGGAAAGTCAAGTCCCCTCTGACTCTGCCTGCAGGGCTGATGAAACAGACGCTTAAAGGAGGGAGCTTAGAAGAAAGGCTGGGGAAAAAGAGTGGTTCCTTCCCGCCCAACACGAGGCTCAGCCCACCTCCCACTGCAGTCTCTGCAAGGCCACTCACCATCCACTTGAGCATGATGGTGGTCTCGTTGACGGCGTCAGTGAAGGTGATGTAGGGGCCCGCCACAGGCCTCTCGTAGATGCGGCCGCTGTAGCCTGACACCACGTATGGCTGGGAGGGGGCGCTGGGCTCGCTCTCCCCCAGCATGTTCAGAGCCCGGACTCGGAACTTATAGGAGGTGCCTGGTGAGAGACCCTCACTGAGCCCAGGAGCTGGGAAACACCTTCCGACTTTCTCACAGCTCATTCAGGCCCTGGACCTGGAGGGATCTTCTGGGCAGACCTTCCCCAAAACCAAATCCCAAAGGAATCACGAGAATTCCCACCCTCATCAGAAAGGAAGAGAGAGAGAAGGGCTTGTGGGACTGAAGTAACACCACTAAGAGCATTCACAGGAGCCTAGTGGCAGGTGGAACATGAGAAGTGAGAACCTCCAGGGCACAGCATTGGGGTGGGGGGGAGGGGGAAAGGGAATAGGAACAGTAGGTAAGGGGCCAGGCCCCTACCTTTCTCTAGGCCTGTGATCTCCACTGAGAGCCGGGAGGGAGGGATGGCACTGGTGGCCAGAATCCAGTCCCCCACTTTCTTCAGCTTCTTATACTCCACACGAAAGGACTGGATTGGGAAGCCACCATTTCCACGGGGAATCCAGGTCACAAACACGGATGTCTCAGAGGCCATGGAGATAGTGGGCCTGTCTGGAGCTTCTGGGGCTGGTGGGAACCACACACGAGGGAAGAAAGAAACAAGACGACAAGATGAGAAGATGGTTGTATGGCACCTGGACTTGGCCTCTTCTGATTGGGGCCTGCTCCTCCCCACAGCCCTTCACCCCTGGGGCTGCACTGGGTCTTCCTAGGGTCACCTGAATGGCCTGCTCCAGGGAGGAGCCCTTGAGCTAAGACCCCTGAAAGCTATCTTTCTGCAGTGTTAGAGTATGGAGGAGTCAACGGCCACCCGCTCTCCCCTCCACTGCCTCTGGACCCACAGGGTCAGCAACCCCAGTACTGGACTTCAGTGTTTTATTTGAAAAGTTCCAAATTATATTTCTTCATTGTGGTTAACTGGGGAGGTACCAGGAAAATGTCATAAGGATTCCTGGACCCAAAAGCCCATTCATCCTTCAGCAATGAGCCCGGGGCAGTGGACCTGGTTCTAGTTACGACGATCATCACTCCTACCCCTGTGGGGGGCTTACGGGAGAGGCGGCTGTGGTCTGGCTGGCTGCTGCTCTGGGGGCTGGCTCCAGGGTCATCTCTCTGGATCTGTTGCTCCTTGTTGGCCATGATTTCAGGTTTGGGCCTCCGTCCTGGGTAGAAATGGATTGAGATCAGCAAGGGAGGGACATACATTATTAATTATTAGGTATCCCTTTCCACAGAGTCCTTTCTGCCAGAAGGTCTGATGAGGAGATGCCAATAATTCAGGGTAGTGAAAGTGTGACCTGATTCTCAGCTCTGCCTCAGTGTCCTGGGATTGCATTTGGCCCTGAGTGAAAGGGGGACAAAGGGACACTAGAGGCTGGCTGGTGGCTCTCCTGCTGAGGGGTGGGACCTTAGGCTGGGCACACAAGCCACAGGGAGGCAAGAGCTGGAAAGAAGGTGAATAGTTGGGAAAGGTGAGCAAGGCTTCCCATCTGGGCCTGGTAGGATTTTCTCAGGCCCATGGAAACCCCAAGCTGGGGTCAATGATCGACCCTTACCAGTCCGGAAGGTGACCATGGCTGTCTGGCCTTCGCCTGCACAGTTGAAAGCTGCCATCTCCACTTCATACAAGCTCCCGGGGTCTAGCCTGGTGAGGGTCAGGCGGTGCTGGTTGGCAGGAATGCCAGAGATGGTCCAATCATCAGAGGAGTTTGTGACCTGCTGGAAAAGGTGGCTGGTTATAGGACCAGCATCGTTGGCCTGGAGCTCTAGATGGGCTGTGGTTTGCAAGGGAAGCAGGCCTGAGCCCTGGAGGGCCGCAGGAGGAGGGGTGGGAGGAGAATGGGCAGGTTGGGGGATGGTGCTGCTGCGGGGTGCAGACTGGTCCTCTGGTCCTGGGACAGTGAAGTCAGGCTCCCTGACCTCTCATCTAATGATCCCATCAAAGAAAACCCAGTGGGGAAGGTCAAAGGGCCTGACTGGTCTTGCTGAGAATTTCTCCAAAGACCTACTTTGTCCTTCTGAAAACCTCCATATTTTTTTCTCCTTGCTCTATTTAAACCAGGCGCAGTTCCTTCAGTTTACATTCTAATAAGATGATGAGAATGATGATAAAAGTAGCAGCACCAGTAGAAATGGCCACATTGTCGAGCGTTTACTATGTGGAGCTGAGCACTTTAAATGCACTATTAAGTGCTTTCGTGAAAACAGCCCAAGGGAGGGATGAGCAATTTGCCAAAGGCCACGCTGCCCGGTGAGCGCAGAAACCAAGAGCACATGCTCATAGTCTTAATCTGGGAGCCAGAAAATCTTGGGTTTGATCCTGGTTGTGTCTCTTACTAGCTATATCACATAAGCAAAGCTTTTCATTTGTAAAATGAGGCAAATAAAGTCTCTCAGGTTATTCTAAAGATTAATTAGGTGATTTATGTCACGTGTCGAGCTTTGGACTGGGCGTACAGTAGGCTCCCACCAAATGCCTGGCCACTCTCCTGACTGCCCCACATCCTCCACGTAGTGAGGTCTCTGCCACCTCAGTCCTTGCTCAGAACTTAAAAACTGTGGATGAATTCTAACGATTATGTATCCATATTAATGGCTTCACATTCCTAGCTCTTTAAAGAAAAAAACATACAGGAGCTCCAGGCTCCTCAGCAGGTGATGCTGAAAGGCTTTTTGTTCTCACCCACCCCACCTTTCAGGACAAAAGACTTAACTGCCAACCACACACATCTCTGAGCCTGCTGGAACCTGAGGCTGGGGTTTGCTGAAGGAATTAAGCAGCTGGTAGGACAGCTCTCAGTTCCAAGCAGAATATTCCAAAGTAGAACAAAACCTGCTATTCAAGGGACAGGGATGGTCTGGGCTCATTAATGTCAGGCTTCCAGGGTTGGTTCCAGGGGGAGAAGATTTTACAAACTGAGAATCCCTGGTGGTGCTGCAAACCCAAACACAGTAGCCCGGGGTCTGCAGATGCACCAGGAAATGAAACTGCTTTGCCGTGTGAGAAAGGGAAACGAGCTGAATGGTTCCCAGACTCCAGCAAAAGAAGGGGCTGAAGAAACAGCCCAAACACTGTTTTTTTAAATTTTTTATTTCCAAATTCTTTCTGATGTGATGATCTTGAAGGCATTAGTCCCTGAAGAAAGGAACTGCTTTACGAGCATCATTTCTGCCTTGGCAATGCCCTCCTAACAGCTCCCCGTGCTCCCTAGGCTGGGCCTGATGGAAGCCAGGCCCAGGGGGGCACTGTCCGCTCACTTCCCCTGCGCCCCTTCTCCCTGGCCCTCCCAGCTCTGGCCTTACACGTCCACTGGGATCAGAAATGAAAATAAGAACTAGAACGGTAATTAGTCACTGTCACACACATAGAGAGGGTGAATGAATAAGGTCTCAGCCTGGCATTTCCGGATCACCACGCAGGGCTTCTGCCAGCCTGCCTCTTGGAGAGGCAGTTTCATGGCCACCTCTTGGCCTGAAAAATATTATTCTTGCTCTCATGCTGGTTCTTATCTCCCGGGGACCGTGAACGTTTGGCCTGCCCTGATCTTTGTCTCGGAGGTGTCCGGTTACACGGGGAAATAAGGATTAGGACCAGTCCTGCCACGTAACCTGGGCTGAACAATGCTGCTTTTTGTTAAAAACATATTCATCCCCTTTGCTGGCTGGCAATAAAAAGACCAGCAGACCAGCGTTAATAAGAAACTGCCCTGCCTTGGCCCCCACCTAGGAGGCAGCTTTGCCCTAGGTGTCTTTCTGACAACCTCAGTGTCTCCGGGGACTTGTCCTGAGCCAAGGTCTCCTGGCAGAGCATGTGGAGGGAGAGAACAGAACGGGAGGGGCCGCCAGGGTCCAGAGCAGGGAAACGGCCTCTGCACAGTCAGACTTTTCACCGTGCAGGGCTGGTCTTGTTTTTGTTTGTTTTTGGAAGGGGAAGAGGAGTTAATAAACACTTTTAGTTCCATATTCAAATATTTTCCAAATTTTTCTTCCAAATACACATAGCACCTTTATAAGCAAAAAAATTATGAATGTGTAAGAAAGTCTAGCAATACATTACTACTTACCAAATAAGATTTTTAAAAATCCATTTGAGAATAACTGTCTATTGTCTAATGACCTTAGAAAGAGACAGCCTGCACCTGGGGCGAGCAGAAATAGATTTCAAGGGCATTTTCCTAAAAGGAATTTCAGGGTAATAGCAAGTGAGAATGAAGCCCTGAGCAAGGATAACAGCCTGGGGGCCCCTTCCTGCTTCACAGGACAAAATGTCCAGGAGGGTGGGCTGGCACGACTCTGTCCCGAACCCTGTCAGTGCCAGAATCTTTCCCTGACAGCTCCCAAAACATCACCGGGACAGACTCCCCTCTGTCAAGGTCTGAACAACGCGATATGCTTCAGCTCAAACGCCTGCCAATCAAACCCGAGCCACGATGGGTCCTGAGAACTGAGGGGTGTTTACAGGCCTTTGAGAAAATACTGCTCACAAATGTTTGTTTTCCTGGCCCTAGAGCTAGCTCACCATGCCAGAATTCCTGCAGGTATGTACCCACCAGAGCTTAGCTTGGTGCAAAAACAAAACAAAACATCGACAACAAATGACAGAGGAAAGAAGGGAGGATGGGTGATGGTTAACAGCAACTGTTAGCTCTCCTCTGGGACTAAAAGCTTCCAGGAAGCCTGGGGATGAAGCTCAGACCTGGAGGCAAACACACAACTTTTTCCTGGGCCTCACAGGGTCCTAAGTGCCCAGCACAACCCTCTTCCTGGGAGGTGGTAGGAAAGTACACTGGGGGAGACGGGAGGTCGTGATCAGCAGCAGGGATTGGGGTTCAGGCTGCAGGAGGGCAAGGGGAGAGAGCTAGCAGACAGAGACCTCCACCCAGCCTAAAGGAGGTGGGCACAACGCCAGGCACCATACCTTTCGGTGTTTCACCTCATAGTAGAGGATTGGTGCCCGGCTGCCACCCTCATGCCGAGGCCGCCACACGAGCTCGTAAGAGTCAGTCTTAGAAGTCCGGGGTGAGCTGAGGATGACGGGCGCCTCGGCTGGAGCCACCTGCCCCTTCTCTCCAGGGCACTGTGAGGACGCTGGCTGCACTGACGCTGGAGGCCTCGGGAGCGCTGGGTGCCCTCTCAGCATCTGGTCAGGGCTTCTGGGTCTGGAGGGTGGCACGGGAGGTGTGGCAGTGTCCAGCTTAGCATCCCGCCATGGCCTCAGGGTTGTGCCTGAAGGACCGAGCAGGAAAGAGGAGGGAGGGGAGAGGGTGTTAGTCCCCCTGACCACCTGCTGAGCTGTTGCGGGGAGAGAAAAGTCAGAGAAAAGACCTGCTGGGGCAGGAAGAGCCCTCAGCTCAGGCCGTGACATGACCATCAGCCCACTCAGCAGGCTCTGTGAGAAGAGGGGGTCATGCCCCTGCCCTGCAGTAGGGAAAGGCAGTGTGGTGCCCCATGTCCCAGCTTCTTGCCATGGCCCAGGTGTGGCAGGCAAGCATCTCTGCAACCTGCTTGTGTTCCTGAGCCCGTATGCTAGCCTAGTCTCAAGTGAACCATTTCGATTTGCTCCTGAGATGCAGGCACCCTGCACCCTCTTTCTCATGTCTAACACTACGAATGGGGGGGTTGCCCCTTCCCTGTCTTAACACCAAGGCACAACTGGGCCTTTTCCTTCTCCGCTGCACTGACCTGGAAATGTGAGATGTAAAGCCAACTGTAAATGCCCCCGAGAATCCGAGAAGCCAGGAACGGCAACACTCCCTTCAGGAAGCGTCCAGACTCTGCCAACACTTGCTTTCCCTCTACCCGACCTGCACCACGGGAGGTTGGTATCAATGATGTTGATTCAGAATTTCATCATCTGTCATTGTATTTTTTCTCAAATTCTTTCCTTGGTAAATTTTCTCCTCCATGAAAAAATTCTTGAGGCCGAGTTCTGTGTTATGTTACTCTGCATTCCCCAGGTTACCCAGCCCCATGCTGAACACACAGTGACTGCTCAGTCGCTATAGGTGTTAGTTGAAATGAATCAAGCTAAAGACACACTTGCTTTCCTTTACGCTAGAGCAGTGGTTGTCAGACTGGGTTCCAGGGAACCCTATGAATCCACAGATTCTACAAAATAGTTAAAAGGTGTTTTTAAATTATAATACAACAGTTAAATAGGTCATTTTCACTAGTGAAAATCTGCACTTCTGACTTTTTAATAAGTTAATATAAATTTAAACTTCCAACTAAAAGCCACTTTTATTTGCTTTAAATATTAGGGTTCTATTTTGGATTTCATTTGCGAGAAGGGCTCTGAATATTCAGCTCCTCCAGTCCCTGTGCTGCACTCACCTGGCCTGGCGGTCCTCAGCTGGACCACAGCGTGGGCACTCCCGACTTCGTTCTCGGCCATGCACTGGTAGACGCCTTCATCCTCAGGCCCCACGCTGACCACCCGCAGGGCCCTGCGGGATAGTCGGAGGCGCTGGCTGGAGGTGAGGGGCACGGCGTTCCTCAACCACAGCACCGAGGGCGGGGGGTTCCCACGCACCTCACAGGTGAGTTTGGCACTCTGGCCCCATGGGATGACCAGCTGGGACAGCTCCACAGTGACCTCAGGGGGCTCTGCCGGGAAACCAGAGCAGGGGTTAGAGAGGCTNGCTCCACAGTGACCTCAGGGGGCTCTGCCGGGAAACCAGAGCAGGGGTTAGAGTCTCCCTGTCCATGGCCAGGCAGGCTGGGGAGGGGACTGCAGTCACAAAAAACTACCTCCTTCCCTGAAGCTGTTGATAGAGGAAAGGAAAGGTCTCACGTCTCCTTCATCAGAGCCACAACAGGAAAGGGCATAAAGAGGGCTGCCAGGACCCCCTACCCTAGTGCCTGGGATCCTAGGATCCCCACCTCTCTCAGGACTGTCACCAGGCACATGACCTCTCAGAAGGCACATGACCTCTCAGAAGGCACATGACCCTAAGCCTGGGGTTGTGAGCTTCAAAAAGGCCCAGCAGGCCAAAGAGGTCAAGGAGGAGACGGTTTGCTGGAGACACTCACCAAACACCTGGACGTTGTAGAGGATGACTGCTGCCCCTGGCTCTCCGACCCCATTGTCGGCCATGCAGCGGTAGGTTCCCGAGTCCTCCTCGCTGGTGGTGTCGATAAGGAGGTTGCTCAGTAGGAAGCGCGTCTTGTTATAGCCCGAAACACTGGACCCATCCTTGGCCCAGGTGACCCGCGGGGGTGGGATCCCACTGGCCACACACTCAAGGATGAGACTGTGTCCTTTCGTGACGATGATGGTCTGGGCCTCCGGGGGATAGATGATGCGGGCAGCCTCGGCAGTGGAGCCTGGAGAGGCAAGGAGGGGGAGGACAGTGTGTGGGACCCAGGCTCAGTGTGGAGAATCCCTCCTGTGCCACCTTGGGTGGCCCAGACCCAAATTAAACAGCCTTCAGGGGCTTATGATTTACATACAGTGGGACAAGTTACTTAATTCCCTTGGGCTTTGGTTTTCTTACGAGAAACAAGGACTTCCTGCAGGAGCTTTTATAATAAGAAATGGGACAGCAGTGGAGTAGAATCATGGACAAAGCATACGTATGGGTAACTGTGTGTTGGCAGAGACAAAGAGGAGGGGGTGGGCAGAGGAACAACTTAAATGGTGCCAGTGATTTTTCCTGCTTTCACTCAGTAAGTGAACTCGAAAACTGAAGATGAGATGGGATACAAGGATCAATGATGTCCCCCAAACTCCACTCAAGGGCCTCAGTACCTAAGTGTCTCCCACAGTGTGAGCATCTCACAGTGAGCAGGATCTATGGTTTAAATATATGCATTTCTCATATTGTGAGGTCTCCTAAAGCTAATCAACAACTTCATTAGGTTCTCAGCTGAGGAAGCGGCCACCTTTTTTCAACACTGGGGGAGAGACTGGGTAGAACTTATTAAAAGGCATGTTGCTCTCCTTCCTCGGGGACCTTCAAGTAGCATGCTGACCATGTGCGATTTTGCTTTATGTACCAACCAGGGACAGATAAGGTTTTACAGGACCTGAAACTCATACAGCTAGGGAGACCCTCTCTAGAAAATGAACACAAAATTACAGACAAACATTAGTTGAGTAAGGTACCACTGAAACTTTGCTTCATTAACCTCACACTAAATCCGCCTCTGTGCTGACTCTAAAACCTAACTCCACGTTAAGACGTCCCTCCACTGAATACACAGGGAGTCTAGAAAAGAGCCTGGCACGTAGAACGTGCTCAGCAAAGGGAGCTGTTTTCATATACACAGGGGAGTGTGTGGCCCTCCATGGATTTTCACCAGCGGGAGGTGTTGGGGAAACTTCAGCCATGCAGACTGGTGGCCTCAACATGGGCCCAAGGCTCCATCATCTTTCGCACGCATGTGCCCTCAGCTGCTGAGCGCCAGACTGTCCCACCCCAGCCCACATATCCCAACTGATCCCCATCCTCTGAAAGCTACACAGGCAATCAAGCTCTGAACAGGCAGGAGTAAGGGGGTGTCTGCACAGTGCTCTGATGTGAGTGATCAGGAGGCGCAGCCTCTCC